GTAGCATGCGGTGTTTCTGTTACGCTTTCCCTAAGGCTATTTCCCATAGGCTATTTCCCATCACCATAAATTGAACACTGGACTTAGCGGAACCTGCAGTCTAAACTTCACACAGACTTTCTTACATTCTTAAACCATTTCCATTTACAAAGAGAAGAAACTGATGAGGGACCAGAGTTAGCAGCACAAACAACAGCTGCCGATCGTTAAACACTCTGAAGAAATTCATTTTCTCATTCATTAAGAAATATTATGCTTCTTGCAAGCACTGCAGGCATACTTCTAGAACTGCTAGTCATGGTGTCAACTGAGAGGTACACTGTGCAGGCTACTCTTCGTGGAGCTGACACTAGCTTGCCTCAACAGCTGCCTACAGGTTTGGTCTGTGAATGCCGTTCTTTTGATGTATGTGCTTAACTTCATCCATATGAATTGATCACACACATACACAAAGAAAAGGCTTAAGAAATACTAGCACATGAAGACAAACTGAAATTTCAGTCAAATGAGACATTTGATGACAAGAGGCAGACGAATTTGGTGGCTTCATCTTGTACAACCGAAAGCCAAGAATAACTCAAGTATTAGTCTTGTTTCTTGCACCAATTTCTCTCACTTTAGAAAAATTCCTGTTTTTCTATGCCACAGTTTTGCAGTTAGTTGGTGTGGGTTTTTTTCTTTGTTTTTTGGGGCTTTTGGTGGTTTTGGGGGGGTTTGGTTTGTTTGCTGGTTTGTGGTTTTGGTTGGCGTTTTGGTTTTTGTTTGTTTTTTTGTTGTTGGGTTTTTTTGGTTTTTGGTGGTGGTGGTGGGGTTTTCTTTGGTTTTTTTGTTTGTTTGGTTTTTTACCCTTGTATATCTGAGAGAGGCTCTTGTACAAACTTCAAAATACAGAAAAGCATAGAAGCAATGAAGTAGCATTATATTATTACATTACATAAGTGGCAATGTCCTGTATCATAATTTTGCTAGTTAAAACAAGCCATCTTAAAGCTTTACATTCATCCATTTTTTCATCAGGAGTCAAATACTTACAGGAAGTTACAGATACTTACTTAAGCTGCTTAGCTGGCGTATGATAGCAGCAAGGGTACTATTTGTTACACATTCCAGTTCACTAGTAATTCCCTCTGGCAGAGCTCCTCGGCAGAGATGCCGCGGTTCAATGTTCCTTTTCACCAAAGGCATGGCTCACAACCTGGAATTTACAGAAAAATAAGTATTACATTTAGAAAAATGAAATTAAGAGCTATGAATCTGTTTAGCACACATTCAGTTTTTTCCACAAAATATACTTCACTTTTCTTTTAAAGCACTTGCTTCAGCCTTTCTGCTGTAAGATACTGTACAATTCCTACCAAGGCACTGGAGTTGTGCACTCAAGGCAGAACATGACGAGAGCACTGCAGATAAGCACAGAGGATACAGTCCATGTAGATAACATACACTTTTTGCCTTAGATTTGGTGTAAGATCTACTGTATACACTGACTTGTGCTACAGTACCAGAATCCCTGGACTTTAGCGTACATTTGCATTTATAACAACTGGCAGTCCCCACAGCAGTGGCAGGGAAGATGCTTGTCTGGAGCAAGCTGGCTCGCCGCCTTGGCAAGCGGGCCACCACCAGACTGCCCACGCGTTACAGCCCCCTGCCATGTTGGACACAGACCTACTCTCGCTCTGACAGTTTGCAACCAAAATGATAAACTCATCTGACAGATAAGGGCAAGGGCCTTGCAGAGCTAGGCTGGGTGAGAATAAGGAAGAAGCTGCAATGTGAGGAAGATGGTTTCCACGGGTGGTGCTGAACAACAGCATGCATGAGGTAAGAGCACACATTGAACATATTTTGGGAACTTGCCAGATGTGGGAAGACATTTATCTGTGAAGACAAATGTTGTCAGAACTGGTTTTCTTGGAAAAATAAAAAGAAACTAGAATGAGGAAAAACATACAAAAAGAGATCTCAAAACATCACAAAAGGGCACAAGGGCATAGAAAACTCTGCCCTGCAGAGAGCAGCTGTGAGAGCAAGGGTGCCCAAGTGGGACAGAATTCCCCCAAAAGGGAAATGACGACATATAATACAAAGAGTTCTAAGCAGTTGTCTTTAAAATGGCATTAACACAATTACGAGTCAATTTGATTACCTTTTTTTAAACACTGACAGTTCAATGTCCATGCACTACTTATGAATAATATTCTGTTCAAAGACCGTGAGGCACCGCAGTTTTCTGAAATGAGAAGTTACAGTGTTACCAAGGACATAAGTTCATTTGGTAAAGACTTAACTGAAAATTTCTTTTTTTGTTGCACTAAAGCAATTGAAGTAACCTTTCAATTTCTCTAATTAAAATCACATTAACAGATTAAAAAGACCTTTTCACTTTTCAAATGCTGCATAGCAGGTTTTTTTCTAATTATTTCCTCCCCAAAGTTTTAAAATATTTTCTTAAGAAGATTTCTAAAACATTAACAACTCCTAAGTAATTAACAAGAGGCAAATTATTGAACTATAAGATTATTTCAGAGTAGGCCAGGAAGAAACAGGCTCATTACTTAAGCAGTAGTCTTGAACTATATTTTACATCTTTCTTAATGTGAGACAGTTTATTCAAATATGTCAGAATTTAAGGCCAGCTGAGTTTGCTAAATTTTAAACAATACATCAGAGGTAAGAGGGAAACTTTTTATTTTATATTGGACTAAAAGGCTTCTTGTTTCTGTTTTATGTTTTCGTATTCCTCTACAAACAGATGCATTTAAAAAAATTACTTAATATCCAGTGCAGTCCATTTTCTAAATTGGAACAAAAATAGGTGAAAACTGGAAATCCACAATTATTGAAGAGCAATATCTAGCAACATCACAACGCACACAGGCTAGCACATTGCACCTACGAAACAAGTCATTATGAGGAATTGTTTCACTGTGCAGTAAGATGTTCATAAATATAATGAGTAAGAAGGAAATTAATAGGAGCATAAATCACTGCTAAAGCAGCCAATTCCAAATCTTAGTATTACTCCAACACACAAGCTACAATTTTTGGTGTTCTTAGTAACATTACCACCACTGTCGAACAAACTAAAGGCATAAAGACTCCCTACAACTATGACAGAGTTCCCAAAATATTGGTGGGTGATTAGAGGTCTACAAAATTGTCCTTGGAACTAATTTTTATGTGCAATTCATCAGTAAAACAATCTGGTGAACAAAGTAAGCATTCTGCTGGGTTTGGGGTTTATGGGGGTTGGTTTGCTTTTAAGAGAATTATTGGGAATATATTTTACTACATATGTTCATACTCTCATTTTGTTATTTCCAACCCATCTTACCAAACCCATGGGAAACTAGGCTTTATTCTGCTGGTCTTCTCATCTTTTCATATAAGAATCTCTGTCTTGCATTCTCAGAGCTGGCCCTCCTCTTACCTTCTGCGGTTTACCCAACTTTTCCCCACCACCCCAGGCACCATGCTGGGGCCAGTCAGAAGCTGCCTGCACGCTGCCCAGCTAATTGCCTGCTACCTCTTGCAACACCTACCACACTGAGTACAATCAAAATGCCTTTCACCAGGAGCACTAATTTAAGTCTCTTCTCCCCAACATGTTCTTCCTCGCCTATAAAAGCTAATTTGAAGAAAACATACAACTGCAGTTTGAATTTTCCATTTTCTCATCAATTCTTTATGAAATGGTCAAACACATTCCAAGAGCTAGCAGGGGAGAGACAGACCAACCCAAGCCATCCCCTTTCTTTAAAGAGCAGGCTAAAACATACTGCAGTGCTGAGGGTGGGGAAAAAAAACAACTTGCATTTTTGAATGAATCATTTAAATTATTATGTATCCACCTCATTTCAGTGTGAGGTTTAATTCCAAAAGGTAAACTGAACACTGATGAGTAAATATATGCAACAGATTAAGCAATGCATTAACTGCTCCTGCTCAGGAGGTGTGGGGGGAAGGCAGGCTTGCAATTGCAATTATAAGTTTCTTCTAATTTAAAACCTTCAACTATCTGAATCAAACACTTACAGACCTATTCAGCTACTAACCAATTAGTAAGTAAAAGAGCTCTTATTACTATGGGTCCTTGCCACTAAAGCACTACCGCCCTTTTCTTTACCACACACAACTCAGACGAGTTTAACCTTTCTCAAAGAAAGTTCACAAGAAGGGAGGCAAATTTTTTCAACACACATGTAACAGGAGGTTAAACAAGAAATCAAGACAAAATAAGCCTCTGAATTACAGGGGCTTCATCAGGCTCAACCAGGCTGGGGGACAGTATGTTACCAGGTACAGAAAAAAAAAGAAGAGTTGGCAATGGCAGTTCCACTGCCTTCGCTATTCGTCTTCCACCTGCTTCAAGTCACATCTCAGCCCCAGTTTATCACTAGACAAGATACTCATTTGTGATATTCTGACTGTATTAAACACATTGGCATTTGGTACACTATACTCAATTTTTATAACACAGAGCTTAAGTAACTTCTTTTCCCTTCCATCCCCAAATAAATGGAAAACACAAGGCAAATAAGTTGTTGTTATTTTCAAAAACTGTATCAGTTCAGAAGATTGGGACCAGTCATTGGGATAGTTGATCATTTTCTTACACATTTAACCCCAGCTAAGTATGTGATACAACCATAGACTTACAGCTAGGCTAAACCGGTCCAACTCCGCTCCCTGTGCAGAGCCACCTATGCCCAACACGGGTGGTTTTAAACCACCAGCTGCATCTGGCCCCAGAGAGGAAGGATCTAGAAAGACACTACACTGGACATAGAAGCTGGCTGCACTAGAAATGTATCAGACATTAGCATCAGACCTGAAAAATGGGAGCAGGAATCCAAGGGAGAAGAAAACTAAGAGGGCGAGATGTCACTTATCATCTCGCTAAATCCACGCATGCCTCACTGGCCATGGATGGGAAGGAACATCTGGCTGGACTGAACTGACGGGAGCACCAACAGACACCGCGCTCCAAAGCCCACAGGCATCAGCAACCACAAAGCCAACCTAACTCGATTTCCATGCACATTCTGAAAGGACAGGACTCAGAAGCTTGCATTAGCTTAGATCAGCCCATTAAAAATTCACATTAGGCATGCTCCCTCAGTATTCTCACCTCCCTTTTTCTTCCCCCCCCCCTCCCTCGTAAGAACTTGCATCACTGCCTTTTGTTTTACAATTAGAAGGCACTTATCCCAGTAGTTATTGCTGTAGAGGCAAGCGGGGTACAGAAAGAGATAATCGAAGCATTTTTGCTTTTCTTTCCACGCTTTGCCCGCAGTTGCAGGAGCATCCCTCCAGGTCAGCTCGGACCACCTTCCTCTGGACAGCAGCTGTTAGACTGCATGTAAGATGTTTGACAGTGCCTTGGCAAGTCAGATTAAAAAAAAAGTAGAAAGCAGATGTACAGTAACAAACATGAAAGACTACAAACACAACATACAATCTTTCCAAACAGTGGAGCACAGCTATTATAAGAAACAAGCTGGGTTTTCAAGTATTTGAGCAACTGGCAAAAGCTCAAAGCACCAGCTGTTCCCCAAACCTGCCTTTTGCCCTTTCACATCCCCAAAAAGGCACTGTAATTTACACTAGGGCTAAAAATATGTAGCTGAATTTCATGGTTCTCCAGTATTGCAAGTTCTTTATATATTCACTAACACCATGAAACAAATGCCAACTCATTATACAGCCCCTCTACTTGTGAAGGCTTCCTTATTACATTTTCTCAGAGACATTGTTCAATCCCTTTTTTAAAGGCTTTAAGGTTTCTTCTTATATCCTCTAGTAAAATACAACAAAGCTAAACATTTTTACCATGAAAAAGAGCTTTCCATACACCCATTCTAAACTCTCCCTGAATATATTCTATTACTTTCAGGGAGCTTTAGAGCTTTTTATTGATTAATCTCACAGATGTCTATAAAAAGAGAGAAACTACTATAATTCTTCCATGGAGAAGAAAAAAAAGAGATGGATTGAATACACAGCTTGTCATGAGTCATATACCAGATTGGATGCCATTCAATATTAAGCACCTAAATTTGCATGACTACATATATATGAGCTCAGTGTCCATGTCCCTCGAGAGCTCAGCAGAAGTCTAGAGCACAAAGAAATCACTACATCTATTGATAGATCAATAAATACAAGAATGATAGGGTGAGCTCAAATACC